TAATATATATATATATAGATATATATATATATATCTATATATATATATATCTATATATATATATATAGATATATATATATATATTATATATATATATATATCTATATATATATATATATATATCTATATATATATATATATCTATATATATATATATATCTATATATATATATATATCTATATATATATATATATATAATATATATATATATATCTATATATATATATATAGATATATATATATATAGATATATATATATATATCTATATATATATATATCTATATATATATATATATCTATATATATATATATTATATATATATATATAGATATATATATATATAGATATATATATATATATATCTATATATATATATATCTATATATATATATATAGATATATATATATATAGATATATATATATATATCTATATATATATATATAGATATATATATATATATATATCTATATATATATATATAGATATATATATATATAGATATATATATATATATCTATATATATATATATCTATATATATATATATAGATATATATATATATATCTATATATATATATATATCTATATATATATATATCTATATATATATATATTATATATATATATATAGATATATATATATATATCTATATATATATATATCTATATATATATATATCTATATATATATATATCTATATATATATATATCTATATATATATATATCTATATATATATATATCTATATATATATATATATCTATATATATATATATCTATATATATATATATCTATATATATATATATCTATATATATATATATTATATATATATATATTATATATATATATATCTATATATATATATATAGATATATATATATATATCTATATATATATATATTATATATATATATATTATATATATATATATATCTATATATATATATATACTATAATATACTTCATTTCATATTCTTAAACTTCCCTTTACTTGTACTCGGTATGTGGGTGAGTTCTGTGATATCTCTCCTTTTCACTTTCTCTTCCTCCCCCCCCTCCTTCCCTTTCACTCTCTCTCTCTCTCTCTCTGAAAGGAAGCAGATGGCAAGAATTCTGAAAGGTAAATATGTTTTGAAGTGAATATCACACCTTTTTCCTTTCATATAAAAAGTGTGACCCCCCCCCCTACCGAGAAATTTCCAGTTATAACTTTAATGATAATAATAATAATGATAATGGTAATGGTACTAGTTATAATAATACTAATGACAATGATAATAGTGAGGCTAAAAGATAATGGTAGTAATATTAGTAATGATAATAGAAATTGTAATATTGATAATAATGGTAACAGTAATAACAATAATTAACAATAATGATAGTAAAAACAATAATGATAATGATAAAAAACAACAAAGATCAAAGATAAACAGGAAAATACGTTGGAACAAAAATATACACATCGCCAGAAGGTAAAAAGAAAAAAAAAGGACTCACGGCCTACAGCCATGCATCGCAGCCGAGTTATAACAAAGACGGATCAGAACAGCGTAAAGGGTCGAGTGTCATTTGCAACCGCGAGAGGGCAGCACTGCGTCATCGCCTCGGGTGGGGAGGGGAGGGGAGGAGGGGGGGGTTACAAGCTCCTCCCACCATCCCTCCCCCTCGCCCGCCCTACCCTCAGGCTCTCTGTCGTCTTCCTGGGGTATTACGAGCTTATTTTATTTATTTATATATTTTTTTTCATCACAGTTTGATTTTCTTTTTTTCTTTTTCTTTTTTTTAGCTGTGTCTCGGTTGTTTATGATTCATGATTATCTATTTCAGTTTGAAGAGGAGTTTTGTTGTTGGATTTTAATGATTCGTTATCAATGTTTCGAAAACTTTTGTGGTTATTTGGCTCTGTTTTCGTCATGAAAATAAGGATATTAAAAAAAAAGATAGAATAGAAAGATAAACCGTGAAAAAATAACAAAAAAAAAGAAATAACGATTTGATGACAATAAGACCAAAATATATTTTCCCTTTTACACCTTCGTCAGCGACCACTTAGATATAAAGACCATTCAATCCTCTTCTCTCGCCCTTCTCCCCCTTCTCTCCCTCTCCCCCCTTCGCTAATTGTCGCCTCGTTATTTTTCCCTTTTCAGACTACTCCCTCCTCTCCCCCTCCCCCCTTAATCACCTCCTTTAGGTCCCTTTCTTTCTGTCTTCTTTTCTTTTCCCTTTTTCCTTTTCGCTTTCTTTTCTTTTGCTTGTTTTCCTTTTACATTTATTCTCCTATTCATTGCAGAGAGGGAGAGAGAGAGAGGGAGAGAGATAATATAAAGATAAAGAGAGAATGAGAAAGGGAGAGATAAATAGATAAATACACACACACACACACACACAGACACGCACGCACACACACACACACACACACGCACGCACACACACACACACACACACGCGCACACACACACACGCACACACGCACACACGCACACACACACACACACACACACACACACACGCATATATATATAAATCGAGAGAGAGAGAAAAAAAAAGAGAAAGAGAAAGAGAAAGAAACAGAGAGAGAGAGAGAGGATGGGGGAGGGGAGAGGGCAAAGAGAGAGAAAGAGCGTATGTGCATCTTATCAATATCATTATCTTAGAGTTTCCTTATTCTCTTTTCTTTTCTGTTCTTCCTTTGTCTTCTTTATTCCTGTTCTTATTCTTCTCTCTGGGATTCCTGTTAATCGCAGTCGTAATCTTGAATTTTCACTAATGTTATCCATCACTTTCCCTCACTTCCTCTTCATCATTACTATTTTCCTTCCAATTTATCAAGTTTTTCTCTCTCCTCCTCCCCTTTTCATAGCACCTCATTCGTGCATATTTTCTCATTATCTCCTTCCTCCTCATTTATTCCGTGGTATCCGATCGAGCGTCACTTCCTTTTCTATTTCCCCCCTTTGCTTTATTTATTTTTTTCCTTTCCTCTGTTCCTTCCTCCTTTCTTCCATCTCTTTTTCTCTTTTCTCTTCTATTTCTTCTTTTTCTTCTTCCTACATCCTTTTATCTCTTACTTTTGCCATCTCTTT